AGCTGATTTGGAAACATAATAAATAATAGAACTTTTTTTATTTTTTGCAACAATGAAAGATCATCAAAAATATATCAAATTAGCAATGGATTGCAACAAGGCACCACAAACTCGCCACAAATTTTATTCAATATTTTCACTTGTGATATTCTTAAGTTATGTGGCCCAGATAACACAGGATCATTGATAGCAGATGATTTAATTGTTTATATCGCGGACAGAAAACCATTAGAAATTCAAAGACTTCAGATAGCAATTGAAAATTTATTTAGCTATTATAATGCATGGAAGTTAATACGGATAAATGTAAATCCATTTTATTCAGATCATCAATCAAAAATGCTATGTATCTTATTCTACAATAATATAAACTATTTAAATTAAAAAAAAATGCAACACAAAAGTCGAGTCAAATATGTAGGCGTTCTTTTAGACGAAAGATTAATTCACCACCATGTTGAAACTCAATAAAGCTAGAAAAATATTCATCAATCACGGCAGGCTCTTCTGTTTTAAAATCTTAAATAGTAAGGTCAAACTTATATGTTATCAGCTACTTATAAGACCAATTTTAACTTATCGTTGTCAAATTTAGTATCACATTAACGCAATACTAATGGAGCGAATTATTAGAATATTTGAAAGAAAATGCCTACAAGGCATTTTGTCTTGGAAAGTATAGATCAGAAGAATCAAGTTACCAGAAATACTTAAGTAATAAAATTATTTATAATCTAAAAGATTCCAAAGATTCCAAGATTTGATAATTTTATAATAAAACTCATACGAAACTACTTAGTTAGTGCTGCAAAAGTACGAGAAAATAGCATGATATTTCCAATACCCCGTAAATAACGGGAAGCATCTGCTACAGATGGATTCTAGAAAATTTTAAGTTAGCTAAAGAATTATTAATGAAATGTAATTCCAAATTTACATACACAGCTAAAACCAAAAAACTCATAATCGTTATTACTAAAAGGTCTGGATAGTTTCTTCTTACGAAGAAAAAAAAATACTTGAGGAGTTTGCGATCCCTTCGCATCAGTGACGTAGAATTTAATAAAGTTTCCGGATTTACGAGGCAAGTAGGTAAAATCCTATCTATATATTGTGACCGCCGCCCCTGCGATCGGTTTCGCGAACGTAACTCAATGATAGGTTGGGCGAAATTTCGCGAGCCAGCCCTCGTGCGATTCCCTCCGATTCACTGGCAAAATTTGACGACTTTACAAATAGAGTTCGATTGTTCGCCTCACCAAGTAACGACGCTTCTCGACTCTGTCCTCACACACGGATCCTCCTCAAGATTCCTACGTCCACTCATTAGCACCACTTAACGGAAAGTACTTTTCTCGCAAATCCTGCGATGACACGGACACAATCGTCATCCCCTCTTTTCCCCTGAATCCGTGTCGCAGCGCGATCGACCGATAAATCTTTTGTTCACGCGCGGGCCCTAGATGGCCGCGCCTTCTTCGACCCCGCGGGAGATTCGAAGGAGACGATCTCTTGGCTGGGCTTATTATTCTTGAGGATTCTTTCGCGATTAACGCGATTCTTCCGGTAAGAAATGCCTATCTCCCCCGGTTAGATTATGTATCTCCTCCAATACTCCAGTCAGCCTTTCTCGATTCAGGGTCTCCTCGCAACCTCGCGCGGAGTGGCGCCTCCCCTTTTGATCGCTCCGTCTCCGCGTTACCGTGTGGTCGGCATCGTGATTTCTGCAATAACGTTACTTAAGGCAACTAGGGAACTTTGCATGTAAAAATCGACAATTATTTAAGATGATACGACCTGTCTAGTTCTTATCTCCGGTGGCGGCATCCTCTTCTAATCCGGTCACAGCTGGTTGTCGGGAGGCATACGGTCGCACATCAGCATTCCGGTAGTCGTCGATCTCGCTAATTTAGTAAATAGTATAGTAAAATGAAAAAACAAAGCAGAAAACAATAATAACAAGAACGGAAAACAGAAAGAGATTCACGCAAAAATATTAGGTGGCTCGCGTCACCCGAATTTCGTCCGCTCCTCCTTCCCCCCCTCAAATGGGTGGACGCAAGACTTTCAGAATAGGACCCAAACGCTTCTTGTGATGGACGATCTCAAGACGTCACGTCACAATATATAGTTGAATTTTCACAGGAAATAAATAGCTTGAAAAAATAAAATATCTATTCTAAGTAAAATATCTATTTCACTAATTAATACAATGGGATAAACTGAAGCAAAGAGACACAATTCAATGCAAAAAGTGTCAGTGTATAGGTCATATAGTATCTAACTGTAATTTGCCATATAGGTATGTAAAATGCAGAGATAACCATGAGCCAGGAAGGTGCAGCTGTCCACCAAGCACACAAAGGATAGAGAAAAACTTTTTTGCGTAAACTGTAGTGAATATGATCATCCAGCCTCATACAGAGGATGTCCTAAAATAGTTGAAAATAAAAAAAGACTAGTTAAATTAAAAGAAGACAGCAATAATGAATATTTAATGAATATTTTTAATATATATATTATTGTCTTTCTTATATTTCTATTTATGAAGAATGCATATTTTTGTTATCAATACATGAAATATATATGATAAATTGAACATCATTGAAGATAATTACCCTTGAATATTTTATACTGAATATTAGATCTTTGTGACACGTTTTTAGGAGATTAGTAGCTTTCAATTAAGTATAAGTATTTCTTTTAAATAAGTTTAAAGTTAAATAAGTTTTAATTAAAATTAAATTAAATTCTTTCAAATCAGTTTTCTTTTAAATAAGTTTGCCTATTTCGTAAATATGTCAAAAAGTTTCAAAAGTATTTGATAAATAAATGAAAAATGTTGAAAGAAAACTAAATGTATAGTAGCAGGTTCACGAAATGATTACAAGCATATATTTATATTAATGCAATCGTAAATTAATCGAAAAGTTATGCAAATATATGAATCAATAAGACATATAAATAAATAAATGTTTTATAACAAGTAAAAAAATTATGTTTCATGAAAATAAATTATGGACAATTTGATCATGATTAAGTCTTTTTTTAACTCATTATTTATTAAAACTAAATAATTTTAATATATATTGCAACTTATTAATTATGATTATAATTATAATCTTAATTAATAATTAAGTAAAGATATTAAATTATTAAAAATTAAATCAAGATTTGAATATTTTTTCATACACTTATGCATGTGTATACACATACAAGTCTCATTAATGTTTCTAAGATAATTTAGAAAATCTTAATACGAAGATATTGAGGCTATAATATTTTCCAAATTTTCATAGTCATTAATTAAAGTTCATTAATTATAGTTGCTAAACTTCGCGCGCTCTCCTTCCATTAAAATAGGGTACACTGCATATTTATCTACAAACGATAAGTTGTAAACTCCGCGCAAATCTATAAAAATCCGAGTATTCAAATTTGCCAACAATTCTTTATTATTTATCTTCTTCTTCGTTAAACAATTTATCAAAATAAAAAATAGAATCCCATAATTTTTGTAACAATCATGACATACCACAAGATGTTAATATAATATGCATGAAATGAAAAAAATGAATGAAATGAAAATGAAAAAAAAATTGATATTTATATTTAATATGGTTTTGATTTAAAGGTTTTAAAAGTTTCTTTTATTTTCAGTGACTTGTTTGCAATATTAAATATTTTCTGTTTCCCTGCCAAGAATTTTATAAAGTAACTTCGTTTTTAAGGTAATTAATATGCTCGTTAAGATAAATAATTTGACTTTCTTCTCGGAGATATCTCTGGAGATAAAAAAGAGAAAAAGAAGACGCGCAGTAGCACATGTAAGCCGACGAAGCGTTCGCCATATTGCTTGGTAAACTGGTATTTCGCCAACCAGCAATCGCGCAAATCGATGCTCCAATAATTCAATGTTATTCGAGCTAACGGAATGCCGTTACCATCTCTGACCGGCGGTCGCTGACAGAGCATCATCTTAATTGATATAAAGATACGGTCAATTTCGCTTTAGGGAGAACGATTAATGACTGTAGATCAATTAAAAAAAAAAAATAAATAAAAAATTTTGTAAGTTTTCCAACATGAGACATATCAGATCTCGGAAAGGATATTTACAAAGCTTCTGCATCTTCTTACTGTAAACATTGATTCATAATGCCGCATGTCAAAATAAACTTCTTAATAATATATATTATATTATAAATTAATAATAAATTATTAAAAAAAATAATTGTCATATGAATTAAATATTCCAATCTTGTAGTTATGCAAAGACCTTTATAAGATTGATTGATCTCAGACATTGATCTCTAATATATCTTATTATCTGTAGAATTGTAATTCTGTTTTAATGTAAATAAAAATCAGAAATAATAAAATTCTGATTTTTAAAATTAAATGCTCGAACTTGTGATTCCAAACCTATGCTAGTGTCAATTTTCAAGAATTTAAAAAAAAAAAGAGAGATCGTAATTTTAAATCTGGAACATGTTCTAGAAATATTGGTAATTTTTGAAAAATTTTAGATGCAAAATCTCTCTGATACTTCGTGTTAATTTTCAATATCTTCTTATCGATTATTTCTCTTGATTAATTCTCTTGATACTTTGTCAATTTTCAAGATCATTTATTTTCTCGATTCCAAGTCCCGAATTTTTGGAATCGCCTTTCTTAAGAATTCTCGAAAAATTCTTAAAATTTTAGTTCGGCAACTTCCTTGCCGATTATATTCTCTTGGTATACATATCCTTTCCTGGTTTCTCGAGACGTCTTCGAAATTTGAAGATGACCTCATAAAGTTTTCTTGGAGAAACTGACGGAATCTCACGGTTCTGAGTGCACAGTCGGCATCGAAAGATCGTTCAAAAGCGAAACATGTAGAAGAGGCGTGAGTAGCGGCGCCTTCAAAAGCGAGTAAATTCAGTGAAAGAGTCACTTGTCCAGTGACAGTGCTTTCGGGGTTAGTAGACCGCGCAGGTACTCGCGCGAGCGAGCGAGCGAGCGAGTGCGCGAGCGAGTGGGTTCCGCCGTAAACCTTAAATCGCTATTTATGACTATCCTAACATGTCTTTTTGTATAGATGTTCAGCGGCGTAGGCCGTTTCTTCTCGTCAAAGAACGAACGATCTCTTCATCGGCACGCAGTTGACTCGAGCAACGATGACGACGTCTATACGATGACGTTTCATAGATTTGGGAAGCTACTCCGGCGAAGCCGGGAACATCCCCTTCGGTATCTCGGGGATCTTTTAAAGGGATTCGTTCGGACAAGATGATTCGCCCCGAGACTCTTCAGGATTTCTAATACATCGGGAGGAGAGACGTGCGACGTTCTCTCCGCTTTCAGGAGTAACCGAGCAGTCGGCACTCGGGCTACGTCACTGGCGGGGTCCCCGTGACACAGATCAACGGCGGCAACTATAACGGTACTCATCGGCGTGACCTACTCTCGGCGAAGTCGCACTCTCTCAGTTCTTCCTCCTTCGTCCTCTCTTCGTTTCGCGTCTTTCCCGCGGACTCTCCTTTCGTCCAGGGCCGAATATCCAGCAGGGTCCAGCGAGCGAGGTGTATGTTCGATCGTCGCACGAGGATTCGAAAGTCGCTTATTCCCGCTTATTCGGACACTTCTCCATTTTCAATACGGAGAAGAGCCGTTATCCATCCTGCGGGAAGTCGAGGCGAAACAGAAATGGGACTTCGATAAAGAGAGCCCACGTTATCATCACCGCGATGACGTGGGCGGGCGCCAACTCCTCTGTTATCTAAACGGGGGGCTCTTCTCTTTCGCGCGGGTTTCTCTCGAGGAGAAACCGGCGTATCTCCTCGTCGAAACGGTCGCGACCGCGTTTCTGCTCATCAATCGGAAATCTCGGAGAGGGCACAGGACGTGGGCGAGGCGAGCCGGTCGGCCGCCACTGCCGCGCGTATAGCATCTTCTCTCCCCGTACGCTGGCGGGCTACACTTTTTCTTCCACGTGAGGAGCATCGCCACGGGTCGCCTCGTCGCATGGGCGGACGGCCGACCGGGCCGCGGCTGATTACGGACAGTAATGAAAGCGGGCTGCTTGCACGCGGTAGAGGTAGGCAGATGCGCGCCGCCGGTCTGTCATGTAGCCTTCCTTCCGTCTCGTTTCCGTCGCACGTCTCTTCCCCAGCCACGCCGAAGTCCCGGTCAATGAGATCGACAATCGCCACCGTCGTGGTTGTTCATCATCGCGCGCCCTAACGGGGTGACACGCGGGCGAGTGCGCGAACACAATCGCGAGGGGCTCGAGTTGGTCGTCGGCTCTCATCGGGATCGGCTCCACTCGCGGGTCCACCAGTCTTTGGACCCTGCGATCTTGAGAACCCCGCGAGTTATGAGAGCTACCGCGCTCCTCGTTCTTCAGGTGAGGCACCAGCGCGAATACAATCTTTCTTCGTCGAAGAGTGAAGGAAGTGTCTGTGCTTGAAGGTGCAACGCAGCAGCTTCCCTGAGAAATAAATAAGTTAATTTAATTAGTTCGTAGTGAAGCTGTTCTTCGAGAAGATCTTTGATCTTAGTATCGCTCGGTTACCCCTCTGTTCTTACTTTCATATCGCGTGTCTTGCCTTTAAACTTATAATTATTTGTATCTTGATATGCTAATATATCAATACCCTTTCCAGTTCGGTTTTATGTTTAACAATTATTATTATTATTATTATTATTATTATCAATATGTAATTGGGAATATGAATATAATACATGTACATTTTTTTTTAAATTTCCTAAAATATTAACTAACTATACGGATAAAAGAAAAAAAAAATAAAGAAGACATATAATTTTAATGACAATCTTCGATTGAAAGAGGTACTTTTCATCAAAATTTCTGTCAATCCTCCTTGACTCAACACTCTACGTCTCTATTCTTCTATTTATATATCAATTACTTTTTCTTAAGAGGAAAGTTGGAGCGTTCTCAATTGAGAAACGATCCATCAGATCCGTAAGATAGTTGACCATTCGTGTTGCAGGTGCTTGCATTGCAGCTGACGAGATGCCAAGGTGGAGGCGGCGGAGGCGGCGGCGGCAACGGTGGGCCGAGCACGTTCGGGTACGACGCCTCCTCGGCCTGCAGCAAGCCGTACTCGCGCGCCGGACGTGCACACCACGAGGATCTACCCTGTGACTTTCGCCGACAGAACTGGTGCACGATCGCCGGTAGCTCTTATCCTTGGTACTTCGTCCATTTGCGCTTCGTCTCTTCCGCCTCGTAACGATCGAGCTCCCTCGAACTTTCGCCCGCCCGACGTTCCGAATGTGCTCCAGTGTCGAGCGCGCTCGATTTGTCCGTGGCGAAAGTCTTTTCGGCACAAGTCTGTCTTCGCCGAAATAGACGAATCAAAGTGGATCGAAAGAGACATCTGGAATGGATCCGATGACAAATTAATAAAGCGAGTTCGAAAGCAATAAATCCTTTAAGGGATACTCCCTTTTGCAACGCAAAGATTTTTATTTAATATTTCTATTTATATATACTCTCTCTCACCAGGTTCACTGATAATGAATATATTAAGGAAAATTAAGAAAAATTAAGCAATTTGGAAATTTAATATTTTCACATATTTATTTTCTTCATAAAAAGAAGCGCTTGAAAGGTTTTCAATAAATTATGAAGCGAAACGTATTCTTGGATCTTTTTTCTATTTCGTCAATTTTCTATCTTTTTCATGTTTAACATTTAATCAATACGATGCTATTCTAGACGATTAATTTAATTTTCATTTCTTCGATAAGAATTAAAACAGACAAAAAGATAAAGCTGCGAGAATTTTTATCGAATTAGATTTCTATAGAAGGGAAATCTTAATTTTAAAGATAAACTACATAGAATATATTCCTCTCGATCTTTTTTAATTCGTCTATTAAAGTCGTAGTATTAAAGAATCTTGATACCGTTGTTATTTTAAGTGTTATCCAGATTACTCAAAACTCTCGAGTTTAAAGAAGATTTATCGCATTATCTTGTTCGTCTTGTTAGCACGGAGTTACGTTTCTGCTGCTCGTTCGCAGGCACGCGGTACGTCGATTCGTGCACGAGAATCAGGGCTTGATGAGACGCATGTACGGCGATGAGAATTACATCAATGTCCTCCGAGCGGAATTTGAGAAGAACGACATCGAGCTGAAGTACGACGAGTATCACTTCGCCGATGATTTGAGGTAGCTTCCCTTCTTCTGGCAATTCTCGTTGACATCAATGTTTTATCGTTAATAAAATATCATCACCGTTTTTCATTATTTTTTTTTTTAATTTCAGATGACATAATTTAACTTTGTTCTCTAAAATATAATTCACACACACACACACACACACACACACACACACACACACACACACACACGAAGTA